TCACTCGTCCATTAGGGTAACCTAGGGGTTTAAAAGGCTTGTTGCACATGCCAAGTGCAATCGCGATCCTCAGCGAAAATGATGGATTTATTTTATTTGGTGTGTTTGTGGTTTATTTCATTTTATTGTTTTATGGTTTTCTTTTGTGTTTTACATCGAGGACGATGCAAAGTTTAAAGTTGGGGAGGTATACTTAAATGAGAAAAAGGCGACAAACCAAATATGCTGCAATTTTTGGTTTTGATGGAGCCCAACAAGAAAAAAAAAATTCAACATTTTTCTCCTATTTTTGAAGATATAAAAGCCTCCTCTACCAAGAACTATCAGGTGATCTCGATTTTTTGTTTGTTTTGTGTGATTTTTTTTAATATAAATAAGAAATTATCCCAAAAAGGAAAGCATGTAATTATGTTAGTATGTTAGTGTGCTTTTACCAAATTATAGCAGGAAACATAAAAAAAACATTTTGAAGCACCAATTAGTATTACTTGTATGGATATAGAAACAAACAATAGGATGCATAACAGTGAGAAAGTGGACTGTAACAGACTGATACATTTCATGCAGTAGATCAGCTTTCAAGAACTTGTTTTAACTCTATTTTAAGAATACTGAATATCAAAATGATAAAGGCAATTCATTTATTTTTATTTTTAGCCAATTAACCCTTAAGCCTACCCATTTGTATTTAAAATCCCTGTTGTTAACCACTTTAAGCCTTAGCCTGTTCGTTTCTTAAGCAGATTTAAGCCATATCCCAAACACTTTCCTACCATGTCTTTCGACTTTATAAGCAAAGTTTTATCATTTCCGTGTATGTATTTGTTATATATATTGTTCATATTTTAGCGAGTCAAATAAATTGTGAAATTTCAGAAAATTTCTCTTGCTTGGTTCTAAAAAATTGGTTTAAAATATATATATATATATATATATATATATATATATATATATAAATTGAAAAAGAAGACAGCTACCCCTTTATTTGAATGTTCTCTTTTTGTTTATGTAAGTATTTATAGTTTTATAAACTTAAGGTTAGATATCAAGAAATTAACGTTGTTCGAAACATTTTACACAAATTTTCGACATTTTTAGAAAATCTAAGCCTAAGTTTAAAGTTGTATGATGTGAGATTTTTTATGTGTTATTTGTTATTTTTAGAAAATCAAAGTTTAGAAACAAATCTAAAGTTTGAGCTTCCATATTTTGATATATATCTGTTGTGTTCAAAAAAAAATGTTAAAAATAAAAGTATAGCGTTAGTGAAGGTTAGTTAGAAATATTTTATATGTTTGTAAACGTTTGCAATTTTTGTTTCAAGTTGAGTCCATATATATACACTTTGGGGTTTTGCTGTGCAAAAAAAGATTGAAAAAAAAAAAAAGAAAGAAAACCAGAACCAAGCATTTTAGTTTGAATAACTTTTGTGTTTTTGTTAATAATACAATTTTAATTTGAAATGACATATTCAAATAATGTCATGATTTTTAAGTTGAACATAATCCAAAAAGATTTTTGTCTTATCTAAACGTTTTGAGTCATGTTAGATAAGTTGTAGATGTTATTAATATTTGTATATAGTTGTATTGTATTTATCGAGTTGTAATAATTATCTTTGTTGTGCTCTTAAAGTCTAAAAGACCCAAGTCACCAATCCAAAAACATCCCTACCCTACCCTTAGCCGAACATTACAACCTGAAAGTCCTTTTGATTGATATTTAAGTAGTCTCTAAGTAGAGGTAGATCAAGCCTATGGTAAAGCGATATCTTTAAATCGACCTTGAGTGTAAACACGTCCCCACTTCAAAGAAAGAAATGTGACCTCATCATAACACTTGTTGCTATATCTTGATCAGGTGGTATTGATTGGTGTTATTTAATTCTGTTATGGTTCCATGTGAAAACTAGTTTATAATTCATATCTTTAGTTTTCAAAAACATCAAAGAAGTTTCCTAGCACGCTAATCAATTATATTTGGATCTTTCTCGGGACGAGAAAGAGATAAGTTGGGGAGGTTTGATCGGTATATTTTACATCACGCTTAATATACTATAATTTATGTAAAATAACCGATTTTATCTAAGAATGGTGCTACTTTGACATGTATTTGAATTATGTTTGTAGGTGATAAATATGATGAAAATGGTACAAAAAGATGCAAAAAGAAGTTCAAGGAATTACACGAAGAGAAATCAAGATTGAAAACAAAAGAATTGAAGATGTTCGGGTTTGGAAAGACGAGAAAACAAAATAAAAAAATGTAAATTTGTATTTTTAAAATAATTATAATTTAATTAAAAAGATTTATTTAGGAAATAATAATTTTATTATTTTCTAAATAATTTAATTTAATTAAATGTATTTTTAATAAAATCAAAATAAAAATAATATATAAAAATCATGTTTTTTAAAATAAAAATAAAAAGAATTTAAATTAATTAATGAGGTTTAATTAAAATAGATTATTGGGAATTAATTATTTAATTTCTAAAAAAATTTATATTAATTAAATTAATTTAATTTAATTTAATTCACAAAAAGAAAAAAAAATATATAAAAGGAAAAATTTAGGAATGAGCACGTGACGTCATCGATGACGTGACGTCGTCCGATCCATATCCGCTTTGATCCGGCTCCGACCCGCCCAGTTGCCGCCCCGTTTCTACTCACAGAAGATCCGCGTCTCGACCCAACTCGGACCCGATCTGGACCCGCGAAAAACGACGCCGTTTTGATGCCAGCTCCAAGTGCTTGTGCCATGTGCTGAACCTACGGGTTTTCCTATCTTTTAAACACTTTCCAACCAATTTTAACCACTTTTTCACCACTTTTCCTATTTTAAACTCAAATTCTTTCCAACAAAAACCAAATAATTCCATCTTTTTAATTCTTTTGAATTCTTTTTCATAAGATTTAGATTGGATCTTAGGTCCAATCTAAAAGCTTAATATTCCTAGCTTTATTTCATTCTTTTTGATATTTAATTTTCCAAAAATTCACTATAAATACCACCTCAAAATCACCATTTCAAACACACCTCTTACCTCTAAGACACCTCTTACCTCTAAGACACCTCTTACATTCTTACACACCCTCTTATACCTCTTATACCAACCTACTTTCATACCACCACCTTCTTTAGGAAATTTCTATATTTTTTTGGAAGCATTTTAGTCTTCCAAATTCTTTTCTTTTTCCAAGAATTCAAGCCATCAAAGATTCAAGACTTTTCAAGATTCAAGATCAAGACATCAAGAATTCAAGAATACAAATATGAGTTTGTATAAGTCTATAATGCACAGCTAAATCCTCTCGTGATCGCAACCGGGAGTAGGTTTTAATTCTTACTTATTGTATTATTTTTGGGTGTGAACATTTGAATTTGTTGAATATTATTTGTGGATTTTGTTTATGTTTTTAACATTATAAAATCGTTACACTTATTTTATTCATTTATCAATTAATTATTCCAAGTTTAAAATAATTTTAAGTGATCTCCCCACCGTGCCAAATCATCCAATAGCAGTGTGTAGGACGGAGGGTGCGGTTACACTTATTTTCTATTTTGGACTTAGACTTTAATTGAATCGACTATGAAAAATTAATAACACTCATTTCTAATTCATATAATTATTAATTCTGAAACCGGAAGCGATCATTTTTTTAATTGAATTAAAATCATATATTTTTTGTTTGTCATCATATTTATAAATCTCAAATTAATCATTATTTCTTTATCATTAAATCAAAATAGTAACTAAACTATTAACCATAAGCTCCTCTGGATCCGACCCTTACTTACCACTCGCTAGATTAGTGGAAATAAGGTTTATTTTTGATGCGACAACGACCGCTTGTCAGCCATCAATATCATTTACCATCCCATCATCATCTTCAAACAATCTTACAGGTCTCAACTTCTGCTCTCTGCACATATTCGAACTTCACTTTGAGCAGATGCATTATCCATTTGGTGAGTTCCCTAAATGGCCAGCAATGACAATTAGTAATATAACAAAGAACCGCATGTGGATATACGAATGTTACATGAACACACATGTTGTACATGGAGGGTGTTGGGTGCTGTTAAGTCATTGGATGTTTGGGAGGAATGAGATGGAGGCTGGTGACCACGTTGTTATTACTGTTACTGAGCGGTGGATTGAACGCGTAAAGGAGCGTGGGGTGAGTCTTGTATATCAGGATGATGGAGAGAAGAAGGAAGAAGATGTGTTGGGTTATTACAAGTCATGGAATCACATAATTAGTAGAGATCTCTCTCCTTTTCAAAACTACAACAGGACAATACATCTTACACAGCGAGCAATTTTTTCAGCCTGGCATTTACTTGTCTCCCTTATAAAAGAATGGTTTCAAGATGTAATTTTCATTGAGGCAAATACAACTACATATACACAGGAAGATCCGATAGAATAGGATCTGTTACAATCGAATAAGGAAAACTAAAATTATCTATATTTACACTTGACTAATATATGTATCCAGTGGGTGTTATGTGTTAATAGGCTCCCTCAAGATGGACGATCTAGAAAGGAGTCCAATCTTGGATGTAAGGGTGTGAAACTTGTGTTTTAGTATAGGTTTAGTTAAAGCATCAGCAAGTTGGTCATCACCACTGATGTGGGTAACACGGATAGATCCATCTTGTACCTTTTCATGAACGAAGTGAAAGTCAAGAGCCAAATGCTTCATCCTTGAATGAAAAACAGGATTAGCAGAATAGTGAGTGGCACTGATGTTATCACAAAAAATTGTTGGTGTGTTGTTTGATTGTTAACCAAGTTCAGAGAGGAGGGAAATTATCCATTGGACTTCAGTAGTGGTTGATGCGACAACTCTAAATTCTGCTTCAGTTGAGGATCGTGCTAATGTGGGTTGACGTTTAGAGGTCCATGCAACTGGATTCGATCCAAGGTATACGATGTAACCGGTGGTACTTCTATATGTTTGTTTGTCACCTGCCCAATCTGCATTAGTAAAAGCATGTAAGTGTAATGGTGAGTTGCATTGAAAAAGGAGGCCATGATGGAGAGTCCCATGTAGGTATCGTAGCAAGTGTTTCAATGTAGCCCAATGAATGTCAGTAGGTCGGTGCATGAATTGGGAGAGTTTGTTGACAGCAAAAGCAACATCAGGGCATGTAAGTGACAAGTATTGTAGTGCGCCAACTAATGATCTATAGTCCGTTGGTGTGGGTATAGGTTTTCCGTCGTGGATTGTAAGTTGTTGGGAGGATGATATTGGGGTGGTTGTCGATTTATAGTCACTCATGTTGGCTTTATGGAGAAGATCAAGAATATACTTGGATTGAGAAAGAAATAGACCAGCGGAATGGTGAAGAACTTCAACATCAAGAAAATAAGACAAGGTTCCTAGATCTTTTAAAGAGAAGCGTTTGGCTAGAGAAGTAATGAAAGATGATACATGAGTGGTGTTAGGTCTGGTGATGATGATGTCATCAACATATACAAGGATGTAGATGGATGAAGTGCTAGAATGATGGACAAAAAGAGAGGGATCAGAGATTGTTGGCTTGAATTTGGTGGAAAGGAGAAAAGAATTGAGTTCATTGTACCAAACACGTGATGCCTTGCGGAGACCGTATATGGCTTTATTGAGTTTACATACATGTTTGGGAAAAGATGGGTCAATAAAACCAGGGGGTTGCGATATATAGACAGAGTCAGTGAGATTCCCTTACAGAAAGGTGTTGTTGATGTCTAGGTGTCGTAGACACCAGTTATGAGATGTGGCAAGAGAGAGGATAATACATAAAGATGCTGGTTTAACGACAGGGCTAAAGGTTTCGATGTAATCGAGTCCTGGTCGTTGGTTGAAGCCTTTGGCTACTAATTTGGCTTTCAGGCGATCAACAGTTCCATCCGGGTTGAATTTAGTGCGATAAACCCATTTGCAACCGATGATATTAGGGGCTGAATCTTGAAGGAACAAGGGTCCAGGTGTGGTTGCGTAACAAAGCATCATACTCAGATTGCATGGCCTGACGCCAAGCTGGTTGTTTTAAGGCTTGAGTGATGGTTCGAGGTTCAGGAAAGGATTGTATAACTGAGTTGTAAAGGATAAAGTCATTGTTATAATATTTTGGATTTGGCTTTTGATATTTAGGAAGAGGCTGTAGGGTTGGGGGTTGTGGGGCCGGGGGAGTGGGAGGTGGATCCAGTTGTGGTATGGGAAGTGTGGCTGGAGTGGGTGCGGGTGAAACTGGTATGAGATTAATATGGAGCCATGTGTCTGGATTTGGTGTTGGTGGGGTGTTAGTGTTGGATAGGGATGTGTAGGGAAATTTGGTTTCAACGAAAACTACATGGCGTGAAGTGTAGATTTTGTTTGTGATTGGATCGAGATGGTAGGCACTTTGGGAGGAAGAGTAGCTGACAAAGATGCAAGGTTTTGATCGAGGTTGGAGCTTGTGTTTGGAGTATGGGCATAACCATGGGTAAGCTAGGCAACCAAAGCTTCTGAGTTTTTTATAGTTGGGTAGTGTTTTGTAGAGGCGAAAGTAGGGAGAATCATTGGTGAGAGTTGGTGTGGGAAGTCGGTTAATGAGATATGTTACTGTAGTGATAGCAAAAGTCCAAAGAGTTAAAGGCATGCTTGCGTGAGACAGCAGGGATAAGGCAGTCTCAACTATATGGCGATGTCTTCGTTCGGCATAACCATTGTGTTCAGGGGTGTGAGGAGGAGAGGTGAGGTGAGATATGCCACATGAAGATAAATGAGAGGCTAGTTTGACATATTCCCCACCATTATCAGAAAATAGTTGCTTGATTTTGAGTTGAAAAAAGTTTTCAACAATGTTTTGAAAACGAATGAAAGTAGTAAGAGAATCAGATTTTTGCTTTAATGGGTATAACCATATATACTTTGTGAAATGATCAACAAAGATGATGTAATATTTGTATCGTCGATAGATTGAACTGGAGAGGACCAGATATCTGAAAAGATTAATTCTAAAGGAGATGTAGAAGATAAAGAAGTTGTATGAAATGGAAGTTTGTGACTTTTATTAATGCAGCAAGAATTACAATTATCTTTGGAACAAGTAATTGTAGGAAAAGTAGAAGCTAAATGTTGCAAAACTCTAGGGTGCGGATGTCCAAGCCGATGATGCCATGGAGTGAACTTATTTGAGTGGGAAAGAAAACCAAAATGTGGAGATGGAGAGCGTAGCTCGTAGATCCCTTTACTGGCTAGTCCGCGGAGTAGGATTCATTGAGTTTTGAAGTCCTTGATAAGAAAACGAAAAGAGTAAAATTAGATTAGTATAGGATTATCAATGCATAATCGAGATATAGATATGATGTTGCGAGATATGGATGGAACACAGAGAACATTTTTTAGAACAAAAGTGGTAGTAGAAAACTTTAAAAGTAAAGAACCAACATGAGTAATGGTAAGAGACGAACCATCCCCAATTACAGGTTCCTCGGTGCCATCATAGGGTGCATGGAGAGATAGGGCTGAGGTCATTGGTGATGTGGTGAGAAGCACCACTGTCAAATAACCAATCAGAGGTGGAGGTGTTGGTGGTGTTCATGGCATGTGCCTGCGGAGGGGCGCTATAAGTTGTTCGAGGCAGTGAGGGTAAATTGACATGGGGGTATTTGTTTTTGAAGGCATAACAAGAGGTTAAGGAGTGACCTTTAGTGAAGCAGAATTGGAATTTACCAAGAAATTGTCTAGTGGGATTGGTAGTCTGTTGAGGGGTAGGGAGAAGAGGAGGGTTATTATTGTAATTTATGTAATTTCCGGGTTTTAAAGGTGGTCGTTTGTTTGCTGTAAAAGCTGTTGTTGGTTGATGAAGGGTAGTGATGACAGGGGACGTTTGAGCTAAAGAAAGCTCATGATTGATAAGCTTTTCATGGAGTTCATGGAAAGAGATCGGTGTGTCCCTGGCATGAATGGAGTCAATCACTGTTTTGTAGGATGTAGAGTCTAGTCCAGTCAAGATAGCATCTGTAATGTCTTCTATATCCATCTGTTTGCCCAGAATACCTAGTTCATCCACTATGGTTTTAATGGATTGCATGTAGTCAGTGATGGACTGTTCAGGTGTTTTTGTGGTTTGTTTGAGGAGGTGTCGGAGTTGTTTGATGTGGCCACGAGAAGGTTTAGCATAAGTGTTGGAGAGAATCTTCCAGGCTTCTAAGGAGGAAGAAGCATTGGTAATTAGCGGGACAATAGATGGAGAGAGAGTACCAACTATAGCACTGAACAGGAGGCGATCTTGGCGGAACCAGGCTGGGTAATCTTTGTGGGGAGTAGAAGTGCCATCTGCATTGACAGTAGGTTGAGGCATTGGGTGAGTGCCATCAATAAATTTGTATAGATCAAGGCCGTATAGAAGGGCTTCAATCTGAGTCTTCCAGCTCATGTAATTTGTGGATAATAGTTTGAGGGATGATGGAAATTGAACTAGGGTTAGAGATGGAGTAGTGAGGGGAAAAGTATGAATAGCAGAGGAATGAGAGTTGCCTTCGGTGGACATGGCTGGAGAAAAGCGATTGGAAGATTTAGGGAAAAATTAGGGTTCCTGGCTGATACTATATAAAAGAATGGTTTCAAGATGTAATTTTCATTGAGGCAAATACAGCTACATATACACAGGAAGATCCGATATAATAGGATCTGTTACAATCGAATAAGGAAAACTAAAATTGTCTATATTTACACTTGACTAATATATGTATCCAGTGGGTGCTATGTGTTAATATCCCTATCATCGTATATTGTTGCAGACAGCCCCAACTATCAAGGTAGATATCATTTTTGTTAAATATCTTATTGTTGTATGTTATGTATAATGACCTATTTATTTCAAAATAGATGGATCACAACCTAATTATTTTAAATAAATGGATCATATGACCTTAATTTATCGGTTTAATATTGATTTTATTGACATCTATGATAAGAGGTTGTTTCTATAAAATATAAAAAGTAAGAGTTCTACTTTAAATTTTTAAATGAATCGACCAACGTATTGATATGTCTAGATATTCGCTGTGTGACATCATTTAATTAAGTCTTTTGATATGTTGGATCACATATACTTTGAATAATAATTAACACATAACCTTTTATATGTTTTCAGAACGTAAGGAAGGGTGTTGGTTTAGAGCTTTTTCTCAAAGGAATGCTGGCATAATTGGTAGAGAATCTGAGGTATACTTTTTTACACCCAAACCTCTCTATCATCAGTCATCACTCAATAAAAAGGCATAAACAACCAAATATGTTATCATTAAGGTTTCTCACCTTGCAATGTAGTTGGGACATGGTATTTTGGAGCATGCAATTTGTTTAATTTTGTTTTAACTAATGTATAGTGAGTGGGGCATTTAAAAATTCCTAACTTTCCGTTAGTAAAGAATTACGGAGCACTAGTTTATCATTTAGTGCTCCGAACAGTGTTGGTTGCTATCATGGTTTTTGGTTTTTATTTACGTTTGTGTATTTTTATGTCAAATACATGATCTTTTTTTTTTGTCATACCTACCAAAATAGAAACATCTTATAAGGACATAATATATATACAATGAAGTGACATTTGTTTTCATAGCATTTTGTATTATATCACTGTGTACTTATGTAACTTTTAAGGTTGCTTACCTTTCGTTTTATTCATAGGGAAAGGGGTGAATCTTCAAGGTCTCATCCTTCACATGAATATGTTTGATAAAGGGAGGTTGTCTGAATTCAAAATATATGCATTCGGTAAGATGGGTATGAAGATGCATGAGTTGACTTTGAGGCTTTTATGAGTTGACTACCTATTTTGTGTATCTTTGTAATAAGGGGATTTATTAGGGGCACTTAGGTCTTTTCATAACTTAAGTCGGTGCATTGTTGTAACAAAAAGCAGGTAGTTAGGGTTCAGGGCCGTCGATCAATTTCCATTATTTGCCAACATTACAGAGAACCGGGATGTACCACCATTACATTTACAAGTGTCAATATAAATGAAGATTGTCTAATTTATTAAGCCATTTAGAAGATTAGCTATGTATTTAATTTCTTCAACTTATGCTTCTAAATATACATCTTTATTTGTAATTATCTTTTTGTCATTTTCATTAATTATGGTATGATTTATTTGTGTTCATGAAAAGGGCTTACTCTATGTTTTAAGAATGTTTAAATGTGATGCGGATTACAAATTTGTTGATACATATTAGGAATTGTTGCTAATTGTTATAGCACATAAGGTACATACTGTTTTGCTTCTTGTAATCATAGTTCAATGTTTTGCTGCTACCTTTTCGATAAGGTGAAATTCTAAGTTGTAACTCAAAACTCAATCTTTTCAGTTATATAAGCTCTCCAGTATCATAATGTTTTTGTTTTAGTGTTGTTGGTTACAACATATGTTGTCCATTATGCCTTTTTATCCTATTTGATTGCAATATATGCATACATTTTTTTGTTAACTTGTTTCCTTTTTAAGATTGCTAGTTAAACCAGAGGAGTGCCACTCACTGTTTGGGCCATCTGACATACCATTTCCATCACATGTCAACAAGAAATTGGCATCGGAGTTTCCCAAAAGCAAGTACAGGATGACTCAAGTAAGAAACAACAATTTAAAATGCATAGTAAAATGGTGACATGAATGCCTTTGTATACAAATTTCAAGATGAACAATCTCAAAATGAAGTCAATGGAAATTTTGAACTTGAGAAGATGACATAATTATTGTGATTTGCATCACAATGGCGTGTTGATTCTCATGTTTATTAACATTATCTTGATAAACCCCGACTAAAACACAAAGTGAAGTGTACGAGGTTTCTGAAAACAAAAATTTGGTTCTATGGCTTGTCTATTTAACTAAAACTAGGAAGATTTGACATTCGATTCTTAGTGGTCTCCTCCCGTTTTCATGATAATAACCAATAAGCCCAACCAAACTGAACTCGACTAACAGAGCTTTCCAATCAAATGAAGACGATAAGCGTATTTATGTATTTTTAAAAGACGAGATTAATAATGAAACACTCCCAACATTTCAATTGGCCAGAAAATTGCAATTTTATCTGATTGAGATGAATTCTCATCTCAATCCAACGAACACCAAAGGCATTACAAAGTTGTCATGTCGTTTTTTTGGGTGGGGTAAAAAGCTACCATCGACAAAATTTCGAGTCGTAATCCAATGCATTATAAGGTCATATGTTCCATCACGTCCCACATTTTTTGGTGGGACAAAAAGTTACAATTATTGTCCTACTATATTGACAATAGTCCCAGGTGACTATCGAATGGATGCTAAACACAGTACAAGATCGTGATATCATATTATGTCCAGATCTACACAAAATCAAATGAGCCTTAAATGGCACTAAATGAATTCATTCTTCATTTCCCACCAAAAAATGTTTGTTATATACAAACAAAAAAAGGGAACAAAAAGACTAAAGCAAACTACATGAGACGACCCACATAATGTGCTCAGGAGTTGTAGCAATTGTATGAAAAACTAATCAGCCATTTGTAATTTGTAAAGAAGCAAACTACTTCAATATAACGTTTTCACTCTTGCAATGCTCTCCACGTACAAAACACTAGACCATGTGTTTCCTAAAATGTGTAGATAACATTAGAAAGTTTTATGCCATTAAAATGCATTTGAAGAGATGATAAATGTAACTAAGAGTCAGGTTACATGCAAGAAATAGCAACTTACTTTTAGTTTACCATGGATTATAGCATTCTACTTTGCATCTTTCTATCACAACATTGTCGTGTAATTTACTTTTTCTTATCAAGTACCAACATCCAATTTTCTTATAAATGAATTTCCAAAAAAACAAACCTACTAAAACAATTAAAGATTTAAAATTCACAATTGAATATTTTACCAATTTAAAAAATGAGACATGACAAAAGAAGGTTAAAAAGGTCTTTTTATAGTTGAACTTAAATGAAAAGTTTAACAGTTTTGGTAAAAATGACAACCAATGAAAGAAATTGAGACCATAAGGATGGATGGTTGTGTGTGGTTTTTTAAATTTGCCCTCAAAGTGAAAATTTCACTAAACGTCAAGTTCCAATTTGGAATTTAGTCTTCCATTCCAGAAAAAAAAAGGAAATTAAAAAAAAACAAAACCGTGTTTCTTTTTTCTTTTTGGAAAGAACCCTGAAAGCCTCCGATCCCAACGCGTAAGAAAACACCAACATTTTCGTTGTTTATTTATTGTCTCTCGCCCTCTCCCTTCCTTTCATAGTGGACTCCCTGCTGACTTACTGCTCATCTTTCGTGGCCTTTGTCTCTGTTCATTTTTCCTCTGTTATCGCTACTTCAGCTTTATGTAAACTCTGCTCATCCGCTACTTTTGCTTGTCTAAGAATTTCGGTTATCAATCACAGATCACATCATAATCATGTCATTTTTCATAAACAGGTGATTAAAATTTTGTTTATGTCAGCTATTTTTTTTAGTTTACATATCAGTTACAGTCCAGCACGTTCTTGCTTGAAGTCCTGAATGATGTACAAAACTTTGCGCACGCAGACTGGGAAATTCTCCGATTCTCGAAAATTGCTTCCTTAATCATTTTATATTTTGAATTCATAAACGCCATTTTTACGTTTGATTCTTTTTTGAATGATGGTATATGTTCCTTAATTGTAAGCTAAACACTGAAAACAAACAAGCTTATATATTCGATTGTCAAAGCCAGATTGTAAGACATCCAGGTGTTATTCTACTTGAATCAAAATCAGGATATTGCTAGTGCATAGTCTAGATCCTGAACCAAATAAGGAATGCTCTCTCTGTTTGAAAATAAGTTGGATTAGGTTTATGCTTCATTTTTCACTTCCATAAGTTCTACTTCTGATACAGAAAACAGTCTTCTAATTCTACGTTGTAAAATTTCACATTTCTTGGTTAAATGGTGGTCAACTGATAATGCTTCAGTTTTCACTTCCAAGGATGGCATCAGAGCTTTGGAATCAGCCACTCCATCTTTTGGCGATTCTGTTTGCAAGGGTATAATTTCTTGATTCTTATCAACATGCATGGTTTCAAGGGCATTTCTGTTATGAGGATCAGGAGGGCATTTACGTCTTTTTCATAGATGAGAGATCCAGAGATCAAAAATTGCAATTTTGTTCCAGCCCTGGTCCCAGGCAGTACACCTGGTTCTATCATGTCCTGCCTTGCATAACAAACAGGGCCTTAAACCATTAGTAGACAAAAAGATTCAAAGCACTAGAATCCCCACTCAAGTGAAGAAAGCCGGTGAAACCAACTCTTATATAACTAATAACTGAGAAGGGTGAAGGCTCATCAACCCATAACTCATAATGGATGTTCTCTCTAAACTCCTCTCAGAAAGATCTTCATCTTCTTCATCAACTCGTGGTTATAGTTCATCAGCTCGTGTTCCTACTTCATCAACTCATGGTCATAATTCATCAACCGATGGTTATAGATATGATGTATTTTTAAGTTTTAGAGGTGTTGACACTCGTCATAGTTTCACTGATCACCTTCATAAGGCCCTCATTGATGCCAATATCAATACCTTCTTGGACGATGAAGAGATTGAAACAGGGGAAGATTTGAAACCGGAATTGGAGAGTGCAATTAGGGCATCTCAGGCTTCTATTATTGTGATGTCTAAGAATTACGCTACTTCAACATGGTGCCTGGATGAATTGGTGCTGATCCTTGAGCAGCGTATGACATCCAACCATATTGTTATTCCAATCTTTTATCATGTTGAGCCCACCCATGTCAGGAAACAACAAAGTAGCTTTAGGGATGCAATGGCTAAGCATAAACAGAAAATGGATGAAGAGACAGATGCAAATAAAAGAAGTCAGTGGGCTCAAAAGATGGACCGATGGAATAAAGCGCTTATTGAAGTTGCTAATTTAAAAGGAAAGGATGTAAATGGAAGGTAACCACTTTCTTACGCACATTTACATAATCCTTCAATTTTGTTTGATTAAAACATGTATGATAGTATCATCTTCTCCCAATGCACGTCAATAAGTTTCTTTAACATCATTTAGAATACATATATTTGATGTATTAGGATATAAATTTCACACATTTATTATGCATTTTGTTCTTCATTATAAGTTAGATCATTTAGACAAACTATTTCAATTATTTTGTATGCTTTCTATTAAAAAACAAGATTTAAAGGGTTTTCTATGCATCTACTATTAATTATACCATACCACCTTCAAATCATACTGTCTTTTATGATAAATAACTTCTCTTACCTTTAAGTAGTAAAAGATTACCTATAACTGGCACTTTTTTTCAACCACACCACAATGATAGTTATGATGGTCTTGTGTAAACACAGTGAAGTTAGGTTGCCCACTGAAATCTGGTATTACATTGGCATCTATTACCTTTTTATACATAAATATTTATGACCTTACACATTGGATTCTTGTTTGGTTAGAACGTAGAAGTGTAAACATAATATCGTTTTAATGTGAAGGACTTGATTAAAATTATTAGTTATGATATAATTTTGATTTTGAATCTTTGGACAAATTAAATCTCCAAATCTGGTTTGTTAGTTTTGTGGTTCTTATAAAATCTGATTTCAGGCTAGAGACAGAGTTTATTGAAGAAATTGTGAAGGACACCCATCATAGATTACATGTACACTTAAGGAGCGTTGGACCACAACTTATTGGGATGAAGTATCATATTAACTTTGTAGCTTCATGGTTGAAAGATGGATCCTCACATACGGCAGAAATACTCACTATTTCGGGTATGGGTGGGATCGGGAAGACATCTTTAGCCAAACATGTCTATGGGCTATATTTTCATGAATTCCACAAAAGCAGTTGTATTGAAGATATTAGTAGGGTTTGTGATGGAAGGTTTAATGGGTTGCTTGATTTACAAGAACAACTGTACAGTGACATTTCAAAAACAAGTTCAATTAAAGTTCATGATGCTTCGGTATACACCTCAAAGATAGAGAATGTTGTAGCTCGTAAAAGGGTGTTTCTTGTTCTTGATGATATCAACACTCTTGATCAGTTGGATGCATTACTTGGGAGCAAAGGTTTTCATCCCGGAAGCAAAATAATTATAACCACAAAGGAAAGACATTTGATAGAGAGGTGTGCACTATTCAAAACAAACATTAACCGAAAGCATACAGATCTCTTGCTTCAAGGCTTACATGAGACCGAATCATGGAAACTTTTGTGTCTCCATGCATTCAAATGCAACTATCCCAAGACAGGATATGAAGGGGTGTTATATAAGCTTGTGAAGTATTGTCAAGGACATCCATTGGCTCTTGAAGTATTTGGCAAATCTCTATATGATCGAGATGTAACTTATTGGGAAGGATGCATAGAAGGGCTAAAGAAAGAAACAAATTCTCATGTAAATAATGTCTTGAAAATGAGCTTTAACTCTTTGCCATCCAAAAATGATAAGGACTTGTTTAAGTATATTGCTTGTTTTTTTGTTGGAATAGAAAGAGATTTTACCGAAACAATATTAGAGGCATGTGATATAAACACAAGATCCGGGATCACGAATCTCATTGACAGATGCCTTCTTAGTATAGGACGGAATAATGAATTGAAGATGCATCAGTTGGTTCAAGAGATGGGAAGATTCGAAGTATGTCTAGAATCACTTGACAAGCCATGGAAGCGAAGTCGATTATGGGGTCATGAGTCATTCAGAGTATTGAAACAAAAAAAGGTAAGAGTCTGTGCATACTTGTCAGTAGTGTGCATGTTTCAAACTACTTTGTATTGTCTAATTTTTATTTTTGGCCATTGGTTTTTTCTTAGGGTAAGGGAAATCTTGTAGGCCTTTCCCTTGACATGCGGATGCTTGAGAAGGAGAAGTGTGCATCATTTGAGTTGAAAACAGATGCATTCAACAACATGGATAAGTTGAGGCTACTACAACTCAATTATGTGCATATGAATGGGTCTTATGAGAACTTTCCAAAAGAAATAAGATGGTTGTGTATGCATGGGTACCCTTTACGGTCTTTACCTTTAAACTTACCTATACAAAATCTTGTTGCTCTTGACCTGTCATACAGCAATATTGAGTCTTTTGTCGGTTGTTATAGTAATCCACAACGATTTAATGTGGGCGCTATTTCCAACAATTTTCTTTTTTTTATTTGTTTGCATTTTCTTTTTTATTTCTTCTTTGCCGGAGGTCTCCTACGGAAGCAGTTTCTTAACCAGCCTACCTCCCCTTTACCCCATTTGTATGGGATCGGGCTAATATTGTTGTTCTTGTATAGTAATCCACAACGACTTGTGAAGTGGAAAAAGGTAACTTATTTCATTTATCATTCTTCCATGTTGAGTTGAGTTGATGAATTTCACTACTATTCTAATTTATCTCCATCTGTGCAGTTGGATGGATCTTGCTTAAAAGAGAAAAGGTTGCTAGGATCATTGAAGATTCTTAATTTAAGTTTCTGTAAACAACTTCATAGTCTTGGTGGATTTGACCAACTTCCTGCACTTGAGAGGTTAATAGTTAGAAATTGCATTGGTTTGGTTGAGGTTTGTGAATCAATTGAGCAATGTGTTGACCTTGTCTTCATCGATTTGAGCTACTGCAAGAAGCTTGAAAAACTTCCAAGAAACATAGGCATGTTGAAGAATGTTAAAACAATGTTTCTAGATGGTTGTAGTCTCGGTGAATCTGGAATCCAGAATAGGGGTAGGGGTATGGATTCACTGGAATTGTGCAAGGCTAAAAACAATGACATAAATACAAGAACCTCTTCCTCTGCCTTTGCAGGTGCTATACCAAGTGATTTGAAGTTGTTTACAGTTTATTTACCGAGGTCTTTAGTAAGGTTGTCACTAGCAAATAGTAGGTTGTCCACTGAATCCTTTAATATGGACTGGAGTTGCCTATCCATGTTAAAGGAATTATATTTAGATGGCAATCCTATAAATTCCATGCCCAGTTGTGTGAGAACCCTTCCTAGGCTTGAGATACTTTGTATGGAGAATGGTATAAAATTAAAGTCAGTTAAGGATCCTCCACATACAGGAAGCAAGTTGCGCTATTATTTTAATAGATTTCTTGAAAGCGAAGTGGTATTTGACCCGGAGAGTTCCTCACTAGAGTTATCACCAATACGGCTGTTGCAGATTGATGTTGCAGATTGATGCAGGGTTGCCATATGAAATTGAAGGCATTGTGAAAATCCAACCTATGGTATGTGTTGAGGAAAAGATATTACGTAACTTGGGCTGGAGTAAATCAGACTTCCTTAAGGAAAGGCACTTGGGAGCTAGTTCTCGGATACTTAGTTACCAGGTATTTTTTTAGTTAATTGTTTGCCTCTATGTGAATATGTATGATATAATTATTACAGTGATTAGTTAAGGTGGCTGTGTTTGGCAGATGATGATTTATGAATTTGGAATATTCAGCACAATGTATACGGCAGAGGAGATGCCGAGTTGGTTTAGGCATAGAAGTGTGGGGCCATCAATATCATTTACCATCCCATCATCATCATCATCATCATCATCATCTCCAAATAACCTCCTTACAGGACTCAACTTCTGCTTCTTGAAGACAATGAAATGTATCCATGATTATTTTCTACTTGAAGATGGCCAGATCCCTTATACACCAATGATGACAATTAGTAATATAACAAAGAAGCTCACCTGGATATACGAACGTCACATGGACAGAGTTTCCGAAGGTCAATGCGTGGTGTTAAGTCATTGGATGTTCGGGATGAATGAGATGGAAGCTGGTGACCTCATTACTATTACTGTTACACTGCCGAATTATCGAGTTGTAAAGGAGTGTGGGGTGAGTCTTGTGTATGAGGATGATGGAGAGAAGAAGGATGAAGAAGAAGAAGATGCGTTGGGTTATTACAAGTCATGGAATCACATAATTGGTGGAGATCTCTCCCCTTTTCAAACAACAACAGGGCAATACATCTTATATAAAAACCGATTTTTGTTCCATTACCTTAGATTGCATCCATATCATCGTAAATTAGTTCCCGTGGGCCCCGAATTTCAAGGTAGATGTGATTTTTGTTAAATATATTTTATTGTCATCGTAAATTCGTTCGAAATGGCCCCGACTTTCAAGTGGATTGTTTGTGAATAATGATTAACTTTTTATCTGTTTTCAGCACCAAAGAAAAAGGGTTGGTTCAGAGCTTTCTCCCCAAGGAACCCTCGCATAACTGATCGTGCAAATGAGGTATACCTTTTCACACCCAAACTTTTCACTCTTCATGTGAACAAAAGGCATACACAACCAAATATTAGGAATCAAAGTTCTCAATTGGTTTAGGATGTAACAAAATAAGAGGAGTTATAACCTTGCAATGAACATTTGAAAATGCCAACATTAAAATTTGGAATCATTTTTTGTTCATACCATGTCTAGACACAATGTGTCAAAATCTAGGATCAAATTCTCACCATTCCCTGTACTTGACATGCAGTTGAGTCCAATTCATAGATTCATCATGTTCTGTAGATGTTGTTCTTGGGCAAATCCTATGTTAATAACAAACTATTGCACTTTGGAAAACAATATGAAATTGTTTACGCATATTACTTGATTTTAAGGAATGTTATTGGTAGATGCATGCCTTCTTAGGATAGGACCAAGCAACATGTTGAGAATGCATAAATTGCTTCAAGAGTTTGGAAGAGATGTATCACTAGGAGTCATTAATTAATCATGTTGAATCAAGAAAATGTAACATAATATATACGCTTCCAAGTAACTATCTGTTTTCATAGCATTTTGTATTGTAACTTGTATAATATATAACTTATAAAATTTTCTTACTTTTCTTTTCTATGTAGGGTGAGGGGGAATCTTCACAGTCTCATCCTTCAGATGAAAATGATTGAGAAAGAGATGCCACTTCCTCATAATTTGAACTGAAATCTTGGGTAGCCTATTGTTATTGCAAACTCAGTCATGTGCAAAATTTAACACATTTGGAATTGTATTGTTATCAAAATTAAACACTTTTCAAATTTTGTGCTATTTCCTCATAATTGGAACTGGGTCTCAGTCATTGCCTTATCAACAATGTCAATCGTGTGTATGAACTCAAAATCTCAAATCCTTGATAGGATTATATAATTTATTTGGGTACTATGTAAAAGTCACTTGCTACACTTTAATATTTTAAGATTATAGTTCTGAAAGATGAGAACTCTCATATCATTTGTTTTTTTAGTTTATTTTAGGAGCAACACTTTTAGGTCGCCCCTTTTTCTTCACATCACGAGACAGGATAGCATCACATATAATTAATTTATATATCTTATTTTTACTGTCCTCTATATCTTTATTGTTACTATTTGTTGTTGCCAAAAGAATATGATATTCTCATTTATTTTCATTTTCCAGCTCATCTTGATATCATATCAAGTTATCAGTAGTATTTTTGCAACAAAGTTAGACTCCACAATCTGGTCATTTGAGGCTGAAAATAAATCATCTACATCAACTTATCTGTGGTCATTATGCACCACTCTCATTTCATGTTTTTTTTTTCCATGTCCTCATTGTCCTTAACAACTTGAACATCACATAACCCCGTGCCTGATTCCACCTCATTTGAGCTAAAAAAAACCTGTTCATCTCCTTACCAACATCTTGATTACCATTGAAGTCATTTAATTGGCCATAATTATCATTCACACTTGCATTAGTAACCTTGCTTTCGGTATCCAGATTGGAGATACAAGGAGTAGAGGCTTTAATTATCTCATATTCAACAACTATAGTAGCCAACTTAATTTGAATACAACAAAATGGCACCAAAAGCAAAAACTATAAAAGCAACACCCAAATGTTGAGAGAAGATGCAACATGGCCAAAAAGCAATTAGCCAAAACTATATCATTGGAGACAATAAACCAATTCAACTTGGCCAAAAAGCAACATGAAGCAAATGGAAGCAATGAAAGGATACACTATTTAAAAACTCTGAATTGGATTGAGTCACCAATTTAAAGTAATAATATCCACATCAAAAGCTAGTAATGCTCATACTATTAAATATTTTCCCAATTATAGCATTGAAAATTTCTTTTTGGATGACATTACTTAACTGAGTATATTTTTCAAATTACAATGTTGTAATAGGAAGACACTAAAAATGGTGTGCTATAATAAACAAATCAATGAAACACATTGCTATTTCTTGCATTTAAATTATAAAAGTCAGTCAAAGATGATATTTGTAAGCATTCAAACCTTGAAAATGAATCCAATCACGCATATAGGCATACAAGTCCCTGGTCCATTGCATAGAATCTGTGAAAAGAATTTAACATGCTCTTTAGACTTATTGAAACAAAGAAGTCTAAACTACAAAAATGGGTTAATGTCACTGATAGGTAACAAAGTTTTTCGAATTGGTTTAAAAGCTCTCTAAAGTTATTTGTTTGCATCCTAGGGGAATAATGTGGAATTTTTCGGGTTTAAAAAAGCCACCTCCATCTTCCTCATAATCATTGTTTTTTCATTTGTCGGGTTTAAAAAACCCAGAAATTAGGGTTTCATCCTCTAGCTCCAACTCGTTGAGTCATGTCTCCGACTCGGCGAGTTGGTTATTTAAAACACGTGGCCTCAAAATTCCTACTCGACGAGTCAGGGCATCAACTCGTCGAGTAGACCTTCCAATATGAAAAATAAAGCTGTAAAGATTAATACCTGATAGTCGGGGCGTTACAATTCTACCCCACTTGATCTAGACTTCGTCATCGAAGTCCGCTGCGGTGAACAACTACGGATAGTGCTCCTGCATCTCCGCCTCCGGCTCCCATGTCCACTCAGACCCTCTTCGGTGCTCCCACTGTACTTTTACCAAAGGTATCTCCTTGTTCCATAGAACCTTCACCTTCCTCTCCAAAATGGCCACGAGCCTCTCCACATAATTCAGGCACTCATCGACCTAAATGTCATCCAATGATACTACTGCCTCCTCATCCAGGATGCACTTCCGCAATTGCGAAACGTGAAAAGTGTTGTGGATCTGACTGAGCTCCTCAGGAAGATCTAACCCGTAAGCTACCTTGCCAACCCTGGCAATGATCCTGAACGGCCTAATATATCAGGGACCCAATTTCCCCCTCTTCCTGAAGCAGATCACGCCCTTCCTGGGCGAGACCTTCAGGAGTACCATGTCACCGACCTGGAACTCTAACTCAGATCGGCGTCTGTCAGCGTAACTCTTCTACCGGCTCTGAGCGGTCTGCAATCGCTGTCTAATCTGTTGAATCTTCTCGGTAGTTTGTAAGACTACCTTAGTCCGTCCCATCACCCTGTGTCCAACCTCACTCCAACAGACTGGGGTGCGACATCTCCGCCCATACAACAGCTCGAAAGGTGGAGCACCAATGCTGGAATGATAGTTTTTGTTGTAGGCGAACTCTGCAAGGGGTAGGTGGGAATCCCAACTCCCACTGAAATCAATGACACAAGCCCTCAGCATGTCCTCAAGGGTCTGTATAGTCTGCTCGCTCTAGCTGTCAGTCTGCGGATGATAAGTCGTGCTAAAATGCAGCCGCGTGCCCAGTTCCTCGTGGAACTTCTGCCAGAAGCGAAAGGTGAATCTAACATCTCGGTCGGAAATAATGGAGACCGGAACTCCGTGGCGAGCAACGATCTCGCAGAAATACACGTCGGCCAACTTCTCGGCCGATGAACTCTCCCGTATGGCCAAGAAATGGGCACCCTTGGTCAATCGATCCACGATGACCAATATAGCATCAAACCCCTTCGCCGTCCTTGGCAGCTTAGTAATGAAGTCCATCGTGATCTGTTCCCATTTCCACATGGGAATCTCCAGAGGCTGCAGCTTGCCATGCGGCCTCTGATGCTCAGCCTTGACCATCCTACAGGTTAAGCACCTCTCGACGTACCAAGCGATTTATCGCTTCATGCACGGCCACCAGTAACTCAAACTCAAGTCCCGATACATCTTGGTGGCCCCCGGGTGAATAGAGAAGTGAGACTTGTGAGCCTCCTCCATAACGGTCAGTTTGACCCCACCAAACATCGGAACCCTTACCCGACCGCATCAGGTCAACAGTCCCCAACTATTCTGCACAAATCGGGCGTTTTCGCCCCTGATCCTCTCCAGTTTCCAGTTCTCTGGTCGCATTGTAACGCCCCGATTCTCAGGTATCATTCAACTATAGTTTCTTGGTTTTGGCCCTACTCGACGAGTTGGTTGCCCTACTCGTCGAGTAGCAGAGGGATTGGATCGTAACTTAAGTGACTGAGTCAGCGAGTCCACTAGTGGGACTCGGCGAGTAGGATCGAACGGACTCCGCGAGTCACAAGGATGACTCGGCGACTCTGATGAAGAAAGCCGTGAACTCGCCGAGTTGGATGAACAACTCGGCGAGTCCGATGAAGATCGTCATGAAACTCGGCGAGTTGATGAACAACTCGGCTAGTCGGATGAACTTCCCCCAAGGATATGCACGCGTATGTGCCCATCGAGTTTCGCTTAGGAAACACGACGAGTGGCTTTAGAGTTCAGTCTAAAAACGAGGGAAACTCGACGAGTCACTCGATGACTCGGCGAGTAGCCAAGGGAACTCGGCGAGTCAGGTCAACATGGACTGTTGACCTTGACTGTTGACTTTGACCATTGACCCAAGTTGATCTATTGACTTTTGAGGACAATTCTAGAAGGATCAGAAACTTACGTATGTAATTCGTGATAAATATAGGTGGTGGGATTCGTGACAGTAACCCGAAGGTTGGAGCTGATTTCTGTGAGTCGACGTTTCAAGGTGAGTTATCCTCACTATACTAAGGGGTCTAAGGCACCAAGTCCGGCCCATTGGAATTGATATCCTAGTAGTCAATGATATGTTGAGTTGAGTTAGTAATATTTGCCAGTTGATATGCTAGTCGGGTAGATCTGTAGGACTGCCTGTGATACTGATTGATTACCTGCATGTGTATTTATCTGTTACTTGTCGACATGTTATGTGGGATGGGTTGAGGTTGTACTGCTCCGTACGGTAGCCGACAAACCCTAGAGTATTCCAGATATGAGCTGAGGGCCCGGTAGGCATTCCAGACTCATACTGAGGACTCGGGAGCATTCCAGATACGAGCTGAGGGCCCGGTAGGCACTCCAGACTCGTACTGAGGGCTCGATGGCATTCCAGATACGAGCTGAGGGCCCGGTAGGCATTCCAAACTCGTACTGAGGGCCCAGGGGGTAGTCCAGCTTGTAAAGCTGTGGACCCGGTGCATGCTGTACTGTTTTGATTGCTATGATATGTTAATGTTGATATTGCTATGTGGACTGTATGTGTATCGGTATTTTGAGGTGACTCACTAAGCTTTCGGGCTTACAGTTTCAGTTTATTGTTTCAGGTACCTCAGGGGATCACGGCAAGGCCAAGGTGTGATCGTACAGCTCCTCCTATTATGTTATGTTTCTGGGAAAAGACTCTGATAATCAATGTTTTGAAAACAAAGTTGTAATGTTTTTGATGAACTTGACATGTTTTTAAAAGTTTAAATTTGTTTGAAATTTTGGATGTTACAAGTTTGTATCAGAGCCTTGGTTTGAGTGAATTAGAGAAACATTCGTGTGAATCCAGTCTCAAATCAAGGAGCGGTTTTCAAAAATGTTTTAATAAATTGATTTTCAAATAAATCAGGAGGATGCAGGATGTACGATCAGCCGGAGCCAGTAAGCAAACCCCAAAATACCATACAGTTATTTGATTATGTGACATGTTAGAACAGCATGCTAGTACTAGGCTAGGGATCTTCAGGATTTGTATGATAAAATTGCCTGAGTACATGGTGCCTGCTAGCCTAGGGTCTCCTTTACATGAAATTGACATCATTACTGTAGTGATTTAGTGTATGCATCACGGTTGCACATAACTAAGACCTTATAGCCTGAGAATTTCTGATTTAGCCTTATGTTTTGTTCTTGTTTGATTGGGAGCTTAGGGTAGAATTGAATATTCAAAAGTCTATCGGGTCCAGCATTAAGTATGGCTATCATGCACTAGTGCTGCAGGGTTGGTGGAAGTTTCGTGAGTGGGAAGGTTGTTGGGATAAGTCTGCCGATTTCGAGTCGTCTAGCATTCTTTTAGGAATCAAACTTGAGTGCTCGA